ACTTCTCACCCTTACCCTTGTTGCTTATCGGTCTGCCTTCCAAGACAGACTCCCAAGCAATATGAGGGCACAGACCACATTTCCCTTGCTCATCGTTGTATCTTCAGCATCTAAACTTGGCACATAGTAGGTGTAATAAATGTTTGTTAGATTAATGAAGGGTTGGATGCATCGACTTTGCCCTTCTCTGTGCTGGGTACAGCAAAATTAGATGCTGAACAGCCTTTACCAATAACAATAATGAGGTGAGAAAAGCATGCACCGCTCTGAACTGTGTGCCTCTTGAATGTTTCCAGATACCTGGTACCTGGCGGATAACTGCTGGTCTTCATTGCAAATATCCTTATGGCTGACAATGATGTATATTTCTACATGGACAATGGACAAAATATATGGAAGTTTTTTCTAACTTTGTCTATTAAAAGAGAATTTCATAGAAACAAGTGTGGTGAATTGACGAGTTGTGGAAATTTGCTGTTTTCCCACTAAGAGGTGTAATTCCCCTCCTCCTGAATGGGGCCTTGCTTCTGCAATAGAAGGCTGTAGAAGTTACACCTCTGGTCTTCAGGGGCTAAGTCGTAAGACATGGCTTCTGCTTTCTTCCTTGGACACTCCCTTTCAGGGCCTCGAGCCTCCACGTATGAAGCCTGCCTGCCCTGTGATAAAGAGAACATACATAGGGGGTCTGTTTAATAACCCCAGCTGACTGGTGCCTTGCAGCCATTTCTGCCAAAGCATTGGATGCATGGGTGAAGCCATCTGGGATTCACCAGCCTAGGCCATGCACTGTCTAAATGCCACTGAGTGACCCCAGTCAATGCCACAGGGAAGGAGCTGAAAAATCACTTGGCTGAGCCCTGCCTGAAGGCTTGACCTGCACAATCAAGAGATATAAAGAAAATGGTTATGGTTTCAAGCAATGAAGTTTTAGGGTTGTAGTCAATGATAATTGGAACAAGAAATTACTTCATATCTTTATTTGTCCAATAATATTTGCATGGAGACTTTTCATTTTGACAGTTTTGACTTATCATTTGCTGGCCACCACGTAAATCTGAGTTCTCCTCCGTCTGTATGTGTACCTGGCAATTGAACAAGAGATAGTTGGGACACTGAAAGAAACAGGATCAGTTCTGGGCCATAGTTAATCCTCCATAAAGCTATTTATTTTAAAGCAGTAATTTGTAAGATGCATCGGCAATACAGTATCCAGTTTAAAAAAAATTTTTGGTATGTAGGGCATTAAATTAAATTGGTTTCAAAATATATATCAGCCCTGGTCTGATAGCTCAGTTGGTTAGAGCATCATCTCAATATGCCAAGGTTGTGGGTTCAGTTCCCTCTCAGTGCACATACAAGAATCAACCAATGAATGAATAACTGGGACAAAAAATCTGTATTTCTCTCTCTCTAAAATCAATAAAAAAATTTTAAAACTATATCAATGTATGCCAAATTTTGTTTTAATTTGTTAGTAGTTATGTTTCTCTGAGAAGTACTCAATATGGTAAAAGATAAAATTATATACAGGTGAAAAATTTTAGGCTCAACTTAAAAGTGACATTATGTGAAAGTGATTATTACAGAAAAGGAAACTAACTTTTATTAAGGGCCTACTACATGTTGCGTGCTCTTCATGTATCTTCTCTTTTAATCTCCTGACAATACTATAAGTAATTTTGAAATGGGAAGTTAAAAATTCCTAAGGTTACTCAGCTGGTAAGTGGTGGTTTGGATTTGACCCAAATCTGATCAGGCAAAGCCTGTGTAGGTTCTTTCTCCTCTATAGAGGCGTTTCATCCAAAAGAGTACAGGTGATATCTCATTGTGGTTTTAATTTGCATCTCTCTGATGATTGGTGACATTGAGCATCTTTTTATATGTCTATTGGCCATCTGTATGTGCTCTTTGGAGAAATGTTTATTGAGGTCCTCTACCCATTTTGTTATTGAATTTCTTTCAGATGAAAAGAAAGAAATTACGGGGGGGATCACCTCATAAATTATATACTTGTCTGACCGCTACGCTGCACTCCTGAAACTAATAGAGTATTAAATGTCAACTGTAATTGAAAATAAATATTTTTTAAAAAGAGTGCATGTCTCTCTTCAAAGTGGCTCCCAAAAAACTAGGAAGTGGTTATGGCAGCCACATAGAACTGGCCCATTAAAATGTTTATTTATGAAATATACTCCATTAATGATTTTATAATTTTTGCTGGCCTCCGTGAGTTGGTTACTGTAAGGATCTGGGGATAGCGTAGGGAATACACGACTTCCCATGGATGTGTTACAGAAGGTCTGTACTTGAAACATATTTTATTTAATGAATCTTTTTAAAAGCAAAGATTTGTCATCCCTATGACCACCCCAATTTCTCTCCTTTGAAATTCTGTTTTCATGCAGCTCCATTTTTTAAAAGGGATTTATCTACAACGGAGTGAGATTATTGGGGTTTGCTGTTTTCTTTTTATTCACTTTTTTTCTCCTTGGGCTGAAAGTTCCCTTCTTGCATTTGTCCACCTAAGTCTTCAAATGCTTTTATTTCATAATAATAAACACAACTGTTCCAAAATAAATGAAAAAGTAGAAACTGTCAGTTAGGGCTTTGCCAGAATTCTGATCCCCGCACTGTGGGATAGGGAGAGTAGCCCTGGGGAAGGGGAAGAGGGCGTAGAAGGAGGGGAGAGGAGAGAGGAGAGTGCAGGGCTCCTTACCCACAATCCATCCTTCCCTCCCAACACAGACGCGTGTGTTCAGACATGGCTTAGTTCAAACTCTTACGGCATTTCATATTTTCTGTTCTGAAGACTGTACCACCTGGCGGTTTAAAAGCTCAGATGGTGACAAATGATCTGTGTTTAAATCTCGGCTTTGTCTCTTCTTGGCTGGATGGGCGTTCCATTTTGTGCCTCAGTTTATTCACTTGTTACTTGGACCTCCAACCGTTTGCTGTGAGGATTAAATGAGCCACTCAATGCATGTAATGTACTCAGAACCCTGCTTGGCAATAGCAAATCTAAAGTGCTGTATAAATATTAGCTTCTGATCTTATTCCTGTCTTCCTCAGGCGTTTCATTGGAAGGCAATGGACAGGACAAAGAGAGTGAAAGAATTTGAAGCCACCAAGTAGCTGTTAACACCAATAAGCTCATGAACTCTATCACAAGTGGTAACCTAACCAGACACTGTTCTTGTGGGGTGGGAAGCTCATGAACATACTGTTTATGAAGATGTTCTTAAGATTAATGACCTATGTCAGCAGGCAATAATCTCTGACAATAAGCCAGTCATCACTATGTGATTTTATGAAGATAAAGAACCAATGAAATGTGTCTTGGCAGGGCCAGAAAAGTGATTCTTTTTTTCTTCCAATACCTAAGCACTTTGGCAGGGCACGGGGACTCAAGAGGACCACCGCTCTCGATCACGTCTCCTCGCTCATTCGTCTGACAGCCAGTAATTGTGCACCTGCCTTGCGCCCGGCCCTGCACAGATGAGTGAGGCCCACCATCTAGTGGGAAAAACAAACAGGAGGATGCTTTAATTAATTCAAAAAGTATTTACCGACTACCAGGCATTGAGTGCTATGTTAGGTGCTGGGTATAGTGAACAAAACAGACAAAAGATCCTGTCCTCATGGAGCCGACATTATTCTAGGCAAGGGAAAGGCAAACACTGCATGAGGCATGGTATGGACATATAGTCTATCAGATGGTGATCAGTGCAAAGGAGAAAAACAAAACAGAATTAGGAGCCTTCCTGTGGGTGGGTGAACTCTCTGTGCTTTTAGTTTGATGGTGTGAAAGCTACATGCAAATAATAAGTTGACTTATACCTAGGAATATGCAGTAGGACACTCTCTCCCAGTACGTTCAGCTGAGGAAACCAGCCACACCTCCCAGAGAGCCTCGGGGGCACTAGGGCAAACACTGATCAGAACCGTGCTGTATATTAGATGATTTTGCCCAACTGTAGGCTAGTGTGAGTGTTGTGAGCATGTCTAAGTGGGGCCAGGCTAAGCTATGATGTTGGGTAGGTTACGTGTATTAAATGCATTTTCCACATATTTTCAACTTACGATGGTTTATCTAGGTGTAACCCCATCTTAAGTTGAGGAGCATGTGTATGTAGTCAGGGGCAACGTCACAGAGACAAATTAGAGCAGGTGGGGTAACTGTAATGTAGGGACAAGCCTAGAGCATAGGGGGCCGCGGGGAGGCCCTGCCCCTTCCCCCGCCCAGCGGAAGGCAGCCGCAAAACTGCTGACTCCTGAGTGTGAGTTCTCAGAGGGCAAAACTTGACTTCCTCTCGTCATTGCTCAGCCGAGACGACCCACAAATAGGGACTGAAAGCATATAATGTTCAAGTCAGCCAAACAGCAAGCACTTTGGGGGCACCAGCTACACTCCCACTCATCCGTTCGGCATTCACTGAGCACCTAGTATGTGATAAATGCTGGATTCTGCCCTCCAGGAACTTAGGATATAGTTCCATGAAGAAGTATTACTGACCGTCAGGACTAAATCTGGGCACAGTCACACCACAGACCCGGACACTCCCAGGGACGGGCTTCAGGGGCTGTCCCACAGGCTACGGAGGCCTCGGTCTGTCCCAGCGGGACCGAGGGGCCACATTCTCAGTCCACGCCCCATGGTTGGCGGCGGGTCCAGGCCGTTTCCAGGTGCAGCGCTCAAACCCGCCGCGCTGCGGTCTGGAGGTGAGGCCTCTTGGGCGAGCCCTGGGGTGCAAGCGACCGGCTCCGGGGAAGCCCCGCGGAGAAAGGGAACCAGCTCACTCCGGGCCCTCGGGCAGGTGTCGGAACGCAGCCAGCCGTCCCCGGCCCCGCCTCGGCTGCAGCCGGCTCCCGGCCGGCCGCGCCCCGCCCGCCGCCTGCAGCCGGGGCCGGTCCCCGGCTCCAAGGGGCGGGGACGAGCAAAGGTCCTGTTGGACCGCCCTCCGCCCCCCGAACCCCCGCCCCCGGCCCGGCCCGCCCCCCGGGGCTTCTTCAACTCGGGCCCGCGCCGGGCTCGGAGTGCGAGGCGCGCCGCTGCGGACGCGGGAGGTGAGTGCGGGACCCCCGCTGCGGGAGCAAGTCCGCGCGGCTCTGTCATCTCCGGGACGCCCCTAGTCCGTTCCTCCTAAGGCCGGCGGATCCGTCGACTGCCAGCGGCTGAGCCGTCGCGCCCTCTCCTCTCTCCGCGCCCCTGTCCCGGTCCCCTAATCCCGGTCCCCTAATCCCGGTCATCCCTTTCCCATCCCCCGCTTCCCCTTTCCCGCCGCCCCTGCCTCCCCGGCTGTCGCCAGGCCAGCTGGTGCCTGTGTCTTCCCGCGTCACCACCCCCTCCCGACTCCTTCACTCTTTGTTCCGGTTTCTGCTCTGGGTGTGCGGAGCTTTCGACTCCCGGGGGTCTGTGTGCGGGAATGGCCGCCGCCGACGTGGATTCAGGCTCACGCGCCGAAAAGACCTGCCTGGGCCTGGGTCGGGAGGAGGCCAGCTCCCCCCGGGGGTTCCTGGCCTGGGGCGGGATGACATCCCAGCTGCCCGCCCGGTTCCTGCGGCCCGCGCGTGTGGACGCCTGGTCCCCCCGGGAGCCCGCGTCCCAGCGGCACCCGAGCGGTGCAGACGCGCGGGCGGCTCTGGGGAGGGCGGGTTGCAGGGCCTTAGTTAGCACGTCCCTCATCGGGAGCCCCCTGTGTTCAGGGGGTGTATGGCACGTGAGAGCCGAGTGTCGCGGGAGCGCTGCCCTCAGGAGGCCAATGGACTGACAACCGAGTCAGCGTGGAATGAAGCAGGTGCTGCGAGGTCAGAGAAACAGCCGAATGAATTACAGTGAATGAATCGATTTCACAATCCACCAGCAACGTGCTCTTCTAATGAAGGAAAACAGCCGGGAGAGGTGAAGCCCCGGCCATTAGAGAGGTTTGAGGAGTGTGGTCCAGCTCCCAGCGGCCGCCCGTTAGCTCGTTTGCTTTAAGGGGAAGCTTTATAGTTTGCAGAAGTGCTTTTCTTGTTGTCCTGATCAAACCCTGAAGGGGACCAAAGGGTTCTTTTCTTTTCTTAATCAGTCCTCTCTTGTTATCCCCTCCATTTCCCCAAAGCCTTTGCTGCCTCACACTGACTCCTTTTTCCAGCTCATGCCTGTCTTGTGAGCATCGTTTTTTTTTGTTTTGTTTTTTTTGTTTTTTGTTTTTTTACCCACCGATTTTTATTTTAGGGCACCTGGTCTTTAATTTGTCTCCTCATAAAAGTGAGCTCAGGTACTGGGCTGCAAGCACCAAAAATATAAAAGGATGGCATATCTGTTCCAATAGACTCAATTTCACTTTGTTATTTAGAAAACGGAAAATAATTTAAAAATGCACTGCAGTTGTTACAGCGATGTCTCATTCCCCTCGGTAATGAGGAAATAGTGTATTCCATAACCCTGATTTTTGCTTCCACCGTAACTGAAGTTTACCCTTTCAAGCACACTTTCCTACTTTACAAAAGAGTCATTTGTAGCCCAAATGAGTCAGCCGAGCAGGGCATCAGGGCTCAGGCCTGAGCGGCAGGTGGGTCTCAGTGAGAATCTGGGCGCAGCTTTCAGTTCCGTCCAGGAGCACACTCAGAGTCGGGCAGGTTGGGCTTGTTGCTTGTTGCCCTGAGGAAGCCGACTGGCCCCGGGGAAGCTGGGGCAGAGACCCTGGGGTGGGGGGGTGGGGGGTGTGTGAGGGGAGTCTCAGTAAGTGGGTGTCGGAAAGAAATGAAAGGATTTGGGCTTGTGGGTGATTTGAGGGAGAGTTTAAGGAAACAGGGCTCTGCTCTGAGGGATGCTGCCCGGAAGTGGGGGCAATTATATTGAGAATCTTCCTAAATCTCATCTAAAAGGAGAGAAGACTAAAGCTGTGCTTGGCCAAGAAGCAGCTGTAGCGTTAGCCAGGGCTGGTGGTGGTGGAGGGAACGCTTGGTCATTTCCGCGGTTCGGACAGCGTTCAGATTTTGCCTGTGGCCAGTCAGGATTATGAGAGGTCTTGTTTTTTTCTTGATTTCTCATGACCAGAGTGGCCTTGGCTGATGTGGATGTTCTGTGACATTGTTCATGTTCATCAGGTGAATGTCAGGCCAGTGCCTAGCAACACCAGGACACTAGTACCAGGCCAGCTTCTAGATGTCGGGGCTGCCTTTTTTTTTCCTTATGATATTGGGCAAGTTACTTAACATCTTTGAATTTCAGTGTCCACATCTGTAAAATGTGCGCAATGCCTACTTGGGGTTGTTGTACAGATTACATGAGGGAGCACGTAGAGAAGGTTTAGCCCAATGCCTGGCACATAGTGGGTTCTTGACATACGGTTACCCCTACCCTCTCTTACTCTAGTTCATTTTGGTGTTGAGGTTTCTGCCCTACAACTCTTCAAGCAGAAACCCAGTGATCAACCAGAGCTGCTCCAGAGGAGAATCCTGAACTGAGTATTAGAAGGAGCTGGACCCTTTCCAACTCAGATTCGATAATCCCACCACTCTAAATCAGCCTTCAGAGAGGACACTAGTGATCGCAGGGTCTTCATGCAGTCATTGCCTTGGAACCTATTTTTAGTATTCTTTGCTCCCAGGAGCCAGCGGCTCCGGTTGGCCATGTGCGTTTCTGACTTTGTGTTGCCTTGCTTTCTCGGACTCTTCCTCAGAGCCCTCCTGTCCAGGAGTCTGATTCAAGCTTGCATAGCCTCACCACGTTCACCTTGGCTCTCTGAGCTCTGCTTGGAGCTGGGAAGCCGTGCTTGCTGATCGAATTCCGAAGGCCCCGTGTGAGAGCCCAGGGTGAGGAGCCTTTTGAGCTGGGTCTCTCCTGAGGCCATTTTCATCTAACTCCAGGTTGGAACATTCAGGGAATTTGAATCTGAAGTCTGACTGCTGGTTAATTGAGATATTTTTGTACGTGTCTGTATAGGCACCATGGGTTTTAGACCCTTTAGCTGGCCCTGGGCACATTATTTCATTTTTCCTGGCTAGACAGTTACTTCAGATATTTGAGAATAGTCTGGCAGCTCGCTCTCTCCCAATGCCAGGCATGACAAACTCTATTGTATTAAATTCCGAGCCTCTCTCCTATCTGATTTATTATATCAAAAGTTCCTAGGAATAAAGAAAAAAATAAAGAAACAATAGAAAATGGGCCAACAACACAGTTAAGAAATACGCAAGGCTTTACACAAAAAAATGCTTCATTTCATTTATATTAACATAAAAATGTACTGAAATGCCCTTTCTTACCTATGAGACTCACAAAAACACAAAAATTTGAATACACACTGTTGCTAAGACTGGTACTTTCATATCTTATTGTTGAGACTGCAAAATGCTCCAACCTGTAAATCGTAGATGTTTGTACCCACTCATCTTGCAACCCATCTTCTGAAAACCTCCCTTCAGGTGCTCTTGCCCATGTAGGAAGAGGACATACGTTCAGGAATATTTAGTATGGCACTTTTATAATAACAAAATGTAGAAAGAACCCAAGTGATCGGCAATATGGGACAGGTTCGATAAACAATGGCATACCCATGGGATGGAGTGTCACGCAGCTGTAGCAAGGAAAGTGCTGACGTGGAAAGATGTCCAGGATGTGTTGTTACATGACAGAAAGCCAAGTGCAGAGCAGTGTGTAGACCTCTTTTTAGTCATATTTGTATAAAGAAACAGGAAGGTAAAACACCTGAAGGGGTGGGGGAGGAAAGGGTAGATGGGACTGGGTAGGAATGGCATTTCTAGATGTATTATCTTTTTACATGATTTAAGTATCTGAGCCATGTAAACATACTATGGCTCATACTAGTTAGGTTTTAGTCAAACCTAACTAAAAAAGAAACCTTAATTTAACTTCATAAGGAGAATATTCTCAGAATTCCTTGATTGAATAAGCCTCATTCTAATAAAAATCTACAAAGTAATAGCCCTCGTGTTGGGCAAAATGAATCTCGTCCCTTACCCTAGATACACACTTAGCAGATACTGTCTTATTGTCCCCTGCCACTGTGTTTCCTCCTGAATTCCCTCCCTTAGCAGCTGACATCTCCGTCTCATCAGCCAGCCCACACCTCAGCTACCTGGGGGCCAGCCCTGGGAGCCTCCTCACCATCACCACCCTCACATCCAGCCGGTTTCTGGGAAACCACCAACGCAGAGCCTTTCCTGTCCTTTTGTCGCTAACATATTTCAGCATTTGTTGTCCATCTGTAATCATGTTCCCCTCCGGTGGTTTCCTTGTTTGCTTCCAGAAGGTCTTTTTAGGTGACCACTCTAATCCCATTGCTCTCTACACAACCCCACCGCACCCACGGCGCCTGCTGCCCGGGCCCCCAGCAAGGCTCTTCAGAGCCTTGTTTGTACACACAGACCCAGGGAAAACCCCCGAGACTGAGAATCCAGCTCTGTGAGCAGAGGGCAGGGAAGGATGGAAGAAAGAGACAGGCCCCTCCAGTCTGGCAATTAACTGAGCTTATTCGGGGAAACTTATGAAGTGCATTGGGAGCGACTGCAAGGTGAAGTGGTTATCTTCCATGTCACTTGACAGATGCCAAAGAATTATAGGACAAGGCAGTATGGATGGTATGTGAAGGGTCCCAGTGCAGGGAGATGCCTGGCGTGCTTGCCTGGGTCAGGACAAGGCCTGTTCCAGGAACCAGCACCCATGGGACACAGGAGAGGTACTGGTTTACGTCAGAAGGAAAGCATTCGTTTCCATCAGACAGTCCCTGAGGGGGTTTACGGGAAGCAGTCTCTGTCAGGCCCGGGTCAAGCTCACCGTACCGCAGCAGTCACGTCACGGAAAGCCTGTCCTCCCCAGGCGCGGACTGAGGGCCCTCGCCCTTGTCTGTTGCCCTTTCCTACTCTAGAACCCCGCATTGGGTGCAGGGGCCAATGCAGAGCCTGAAAACAATTCCAGGTCTGTCAGGGAACTGGCGATGGACATCTCAACACAAAATGGTGTCTCCTGGGCATGACGAGCTTGCTGGTCACCAGTGTTGCCCACCCCTCACCACCTCCTGCAAGTGCGAGGCTTTGAGAATCGCTGCTCATTCGCAGCCCCGCGGTGCTCGTTGCCTACTTGCTGCCACTTAGCCCACAAGGTGCAGCTCGGCTGCTGTCTACTTCAGGACGACATCTGTGACCCTATGCTTCCCTCTAGTTGGATTTAGATGCCTTCTCTTCATTCGTTCCTTGTAGCAATCTGTGCCAATACCTTGGTAAAACCTAGCTGCTTGCTTCTCCATCTTGTCACTAAGGAGAGAAACTGCTTTTTGTTTCTGTATCCTAAGTGCTTGAACATGGTACCAAGGTACAGTAGGTATTTAAGAATAACTAATGAATGATTCATAAACGTTTCAATGAATGAACAAATGAGTGATCCATTGCAGGTAAGATCCCTATGCTTGGTATAGTGAGAGATTAACTGATGGGAGATGAGAACCTGGTTTTCCTTCTTTGCAGTTCACTGTTTACCAGAAAGGAACTTTTTGCATGTTTCAGAATCCCTTCCTTAAATGTTCATTCTTGTTAATACACAAGAACAGGGTTAGGCAGCTACACAATAATCTCAGCAGAGTTTTTTAGAGATGAACTAGTGATGGGTAAGAGAAGTGCTTTCTGGTTTCCTGGAGGAGATTCATGTTAAAGAATGCGGGTTAATTAGTTAATGTCTAAGACTGCTCCCAGCTCTCACATTCTGTGATTTTATTATCTGTGTGACTGCCAGACATGAGTACAAATACAAATAAAGCACAGTTCTTGTCCATGGGACATTTTAACCTTTGACCATAGGTAGTTTTAAAAAAAAAATCTTACCTCAGTTTGTGCTTTTTTAAGAATGCTTACATATGTGTGTGTATATGTGTATTGTGAATTGTTAATAAACTTTGCTCATGTTTATATTACAGTATTTTAAAAACTTTATCTGTAAAAGCTTTTCATAAAGTATTATAGTTCTTTGTTATAAATATTACAAGTACTTTTTTTTTCAGTTTTCCATTTGTCTTCCTAAAGGCTTTTCCCCTTTTAAAATTGTACCGATATTTGTGTGTGTTTTTTCTAGTATGTTTATGGTTTCATTTTTCCTCAACCCGCCCCCCCCCCCCACCGCCACATCTAACCCACTGAGAATTTGCTCTTGTGTATGGCATGAGATCGGGATCTGACTATTTTTTTTCCAGTTGATTAGCCCGTGGTTCTAGCACCTTTTATTGAAGGATCTCTAATTCCTTCAGTGAACACAGTCCTTCTACATCTTGCAATGTGCCTCTTCTTTCTTCACCCAGCCAAAGAGTGACTAGGCCTTCCTTTCTGGGTTAAAAAGGAATAGCTAGTTACTTTCCATTCATGAGTAGGGGGAGTCACAGTGTGTAGAGACAGAGCACATTTGAGTCTTCATAGCAGTGGTCATAAGTAAGACACAAATTGGGGTAGTCAAAATACTGTTTCACAAACTTCCAGGTCTCTGCCTTCCACATGCTTGGTGGAGGATTGTCTTTCCGGACCGTTATGATGGGCTGAGGCCATGTGACTAGTTCTAACAAATTGTGAGTGGACAAGATGTGTGTCAGTTTGGGGCCAGAGCATTGCATTGGTGGTATGAGACTTCCCCGAACTCCCTTTCCACTTGGATGATGGCAAACAAAGCTCAAGATGACGGCTGCCCCTCGGTCTAGATCCCTCAGTGACTAAGATGGCAAAGGTTCCCGTCCTTCTCTATTAGACAGGTAGTGTGAGAAATAAATAATCCTCTATTGTGATAAGCCACTCAGGTTTAGAGGTTATTTGTTTCTGAAGCGTAACATTGCCTCTCCTGACTTATGCCCATACTCCCTTTCAGTATTTCAATTTGATTTCTTTGTCATCTACTGAGCTCAAGCTAAAGGCTTTTCTAGAGAGAAGATATTTTTTTCGTGTGTACTGATTGATGCTAGGGAGAAATCAGGTAATTTTAGGAAAAAAGTCACAAAATAATGACTTGTTTAATTTAAGGGTAACATTATTTTTCCAGGTAATCTGGAGATCTCAAGATGTTTGCCAAGGCAACAAAGAATTTTCTTAAAGAAGTTGATGACGGAGGTAACCTTATTGCAGTGTCAAGCCTGAATGACTCCGATAAGTTACAACTTCTAAGTCTGGTGGTCAAAAAAAACAGATTCTGGTGCTGGCAGAGACCCAAATACCAGTTTTTATCCGTCACCCTTGGAGATGTGCTTACAGAAGGCCAATTTCTGAGTCCAGGTATGTTTCTTTTTCTTCTTTTTTACAATTAGCCCCAGAACAGAAGATGATGACTCTTCTAGACACATGGTTGAGTGATTATATGGTGATAACTTGTGATTTCTCCTGTTTCTTTGCTTACTGTCTTAGAAACATCTTTTCTTCAAATCACAAAATTCTGCGGAACTGACATTAAAGGATATAGCTTAAGTTGAAAACAAAGTAATAGTGCAGTTTTGGGTATAAAAGTAAGACATGCCCATTGTAGATGTTGAGACCACTCAACATAAGTGGGATGGATCTACCACCCAAAATCTGGTTTGGTGTTGAGGATGGTGATGCCACCTATCCATCAGGCGGGTGTGAAATTTTATTACTCATATAATGAATGGGCATGGCGGGCTCCCCAACTGGTCCAAAAATAGCTAGAGAGAGGGGAGATAGGAGATGGAGTCAGCTTTCATTGTGAAGAGGGGATGGGCGGGGGTTCCTCTGCATGTGGGCTGTGGCTTGCAAGGTTCGAACTCCCTGTCTGGGCCAATGGAGGGAGCACCTGAACTTCCTTACCAGCCTGCGCAGGCGTGTAACAGGAAGGGAAGAGAGGCTGGTGGGCTGGAAAGTCGCCAGCAGGAAACATCAAAAATGGAGTCAGGCTCTGCATTATTGCCGAGTATTTATAAAATGGAGAAAGACATGAAAATAAACCAAAAAAAATTCTACCATCAAGTGTTAATTCCTATTCATTCTTGGATTGTAGTCGTTTTTTCCCCTCTGCATCTAATTTTTTAACAACAAAATTGGAAACATACTACATATAACTTTTGCATACTCCTTATTTTTTATTTAACCTTATATAAATTTTCCTTCATAGGTTTACATATTTTAAAATACTGTTTTCTGCAAACCCATAACATTTCATTTTGTGTTTCTACCTTATTCATTTAATAGTTTTAATTTAGTGCTGAATAAATAAGGCCGGGATGAACATTTTGATCTGAATTTTTGTTGTTTTTCTGTTTTTCCTTTAAGCAATTGCTTTAGCATAGATCCTTAAAGACACACTTAATGGACCAGAGGTTGGAAATTTTCGAAGGCCTTGGTGCTCATTGCTACACACTTTTTGGAACACAGTGATATGTGAGAGTATCATCAGCTCTTAATTATTGGACTAGATGTTGTCCGAGTCCTCTTCTATTTTACAATTAGTTCCAAAGTTCTCTAATTCTCTGAGTACAACTCTTAAAGGGGAGAAGAGAGAGAGGATCTAGTCTGAGTTGATGTATAATCTCCAGACTTGCTTCCGGTCCAGCTTCCAGCCAGTGCTTCCTCCAACCAGTCTCCTCATTAAAGCTGTCTCACAATGGGCGAATGGATTGATATGCATTTTATGTAACCTCCCCCTGCCCAGGATCTCTGGTAGAACTTCTATTGAGGGGCAAGAGAAAAAAAAATCACAGAATAGACCGTGGACCCCGAGCAGCTGGAATTTTACTGTTCTGTGCTGTTGAAGTGCCTCTTCTGTGATGTCCTGGAAATTCATGAAGTTGCACGTTAGGCGGCTGAAGAAGAAGTCTCAATTATGCTAATCACCTAGGCCAGGGCTCCCCCCTCATTCTGTGTCCAGTTGGTGTTAGGGCTGTGACAAGAGGTGTCCTCTGCCTTGTCTACAAACAGGCCCTGGACGCCTCCCCCGTTAGTGTTTCATGTCACTCGCAGCAACGCAGGCGTGTTTGTGTTGCCCGGGGACGAGAAGGTCAGAGGGGTGGTGAGTCTGTTCTTGTCTCAGTGGGAGCCTGTTGGCTTCCTCACTCCTTCCCTTCCACCAGCAGCAGGGCAAAAGTGTGCACAAATGACATCTTTTTTGGAGGCGTAGCTAGAGGGGCTTTGGGGAATGCATAGACAGCCTTGGTTGTCCTCAGCAGCTGTGGGATCCGGTCTTGGGGACAGTTTTCAGGAGTGATAATTACCTGCCTGAGACCAGAACTGTGACCTGCCGATAGAATTTCTGTCTATGTAGCACTGTGTACAATTGGGACTGTCCTATTTGTTAGAAATGATATTGTTTGGACTAAATCCAGTGGGTAGGCTGGGCACCTGCTATGTGCTAGGCAGTGTTTTACATGCTTCACATACGTGGACTTGAAACAGAATCCATCAGGTAAGTATTATTAATTACCTCCAAATTACACATGACAAACCTGAGGTTCAGAGAGATGAATATTACTCAAGGTCTCCCGACAGGAACATTAGTGATAGAATCTTGAGCTCTTAGCTCTATTCTGCGCTGCTTCCCAAAGCATTTCCCAGGCAGTCTGTATTCCACACGATGTGAATAGAAAAAGATTTTGAATTAGCGGTATTCTCAGAGGCTTCCTATTTTTGGTGGTGGAGGAGATGATTCTCTACTTTGTAAAAGTCAGAGATAATGAGTGGTGATTAGTTATCATTAACCCTGGTTGCGGAATGGATGTTCTTGACTGGAGTGAAAGAAATACAGGTGTCGGGGGTGGATGGAAAGAAAGAAGCCCCTGAGACGCCATGTGGATTTGAATCTTTCATCAAGTCCCACCAGGACCCCAGGAGAGCCTCGGGTTGGGGAAACGGAAAAAGCCAAGTGTGACTTTCCTAAGAGGCTCTCAGTGCAGTTACGGAGTGATGATGACTGAGACCATTTTCATGGTGGTATGCGGTTGGATTAAAAATTTATACAGTAGGAATCTGGAGATGGGCAGCTCGGGTATGAGATCATCAGGTGTTCACCTTTAGTGTTCAGATAAGAAGGGTGGGTCTCGAAGGCAGCCTGTAGCAATCACCTGGATATGGCCCTGTGAGGGGACGGCAGTTTCCGGGAGGCTTGGTTGAAGCTGGACACCAGGTGGGTGGTAGCATCTCCCTTAGTGTCTGGGGAGCCAGGAAGGCAGAACGGAGGGCCTGGAGCTAGTGTGTCCCAGGATGGTTGTTTGAGGGAGGGAGAAAGGGCATGCCCGGTCACTATCACAAAGACAGATAAGGAGTTGCATGACAAGGACTTGAGTAATGGGGTAGAGGTCAGATGTAAACAAATAAGCCTGGGAAGGGAATTTTGCAGGGAGATAGTATGAAACCAGGAGAATGTTCTCCAAGATGGGGGGGTGGGAAGGGAAGGTCCCTAAAGATAAGCCTAGGTGGCCAGCCTGCTGGACACTGGGTAAGGCAGGCCACTCAACTGTGTGGCTGGGGCGGGGCCTGCATTTTTTCTCTGTTTTCATATCATCTTCATCTAGTTCCTTCACCCTGGAAAAAGCACACATTTAAAATGTTCTATTTCTTTACCAGTATAGTGGCTAAATCGATGCTTACTTTAAAAATATTCAGTAAATCCTACAGATATTATATGTGTACTTGATTGTACATGTATGTGTTGGAATTAAAACACACACACACACACACACACACACACAAACAAAAAAGCACCCCGTGGAGCCCCTGGCCACCCATTCCCAGACCGTGGCCAGTGAACCGGCGCCTTTTTCTTTTGCCCACCCACATAGTGCGGCGGCCACCTTTCCATTTTGGATGAAAACCTCATGTTTCCCACAGGATTGGAAAGCTAGGTGACCTAAGGCACAGAGGTGGCCTTATGGTCATCAGATTCCCTTGCATGTCTCATTCACCCCAGTGGTCGTGGAGTCGGACTTTGTGAAATACGAGGGCAAGTCTGAAAACCACGTGAGTGGGAACATCGAGACGGCCCTGGGGAGGGTGAAGCTGAACGCAGCGGGCAAAGGCCTGGTGGAGAGTCAGTCTTCGTTTGGGACCCTGAGGAAGCAGGAGGTGGACTTGCAGCAGCTCCTCAGGGATGCCGTTGAGAGGTAAGGAGGATTTTGTTTGGCACTGGGGATTTTGAGGCGTCCCGCATTTCAGGTTGGATCTTGTTAAAAGGGTGACCAATGGAAATTTGGCAAATCGATAAGCTTTATGGAATGCTCGTTGTGCTGGAACTTTAACAAAATGTTTTTCAATTACAGTTGGCGTACAATATTATTAGTTTCAAGTGTCCTATATAGTGATTAGATGTTTATATAACTTATGAAGTGATCACCCCAATAAGTCTAGTACCCATCTGACACCACCCATAGTTTAATACTGTTGGGCATATTCCTGTGCTGTGCTTTGCATCTCCGTGACTGGTTTGTTTGTTTGTTTGTTTGTTTTTGGACTAGCAATTTGTACATCATTTTTGCCCAGCCCTTTAACCCCTTCTCGTGTGGCAACCATCAGTTTGTCTCTGCATCTTATGAGTTTGTTTCTGTTTTGCTTGTTCATTTATTTTGTTTTTTAGATTCCACATGTAAGTGATTATGTGCTATTTGTCTTTTTTTGCTTGACTTATTTCACTTAGCATAACACCCTCTAGGTTCATCCATGTTGTTGTAAATGGCAGGATTTCATTCTTTTTTTATGGCTGAGTAATATTCACACGTGCGCGCACACACACACACACACACCCCCACACCCACACACACCCACACACCGCGCTTCTTCCTTATCTATTCATCTGCCAGTGGACACTTAGGTTGGTTGCATATCTTGGCTCTTATAAATAACGCTGCAGTGAACATAGAGATGCATATGACTTTTCTAATTAGTGTTTTGGATTTCTTCAGAGAAATAGCCAGAAGTGAAATTGCTGGGTCACATGGTAGTTCTCTCTCTAATTTCTTGAGGAGCCTCCATGTGGCTTTCCGCTGGTCTGCATTCCCTCCACAGCGCACAAGGGGTCCTTTTCCTCCACATCCTCACCGCACGTGTTTGTTGATTTATTGGTGGCAGGCATTCTGACAGGTGTGAGGCGATACCTGAGTATGGTTTTAATTTGCATTTTTGTAATGATTAGTGATGGTGAGCATTTTTGCATCTGTCCATTGGCCAAATGTATGCATGTCCTCTTTGGAGAGGTGTCTATTTAGGTCCTCTGCCCATTTTTTAATTGGCTTGTTTTTTGGGTGCTAAGTTGTAGGAGTCACTTACGTATTTTGGATAGCAACTCCTTATTGGATGTATCATTGGTGAACCTCTTTTCCCATTTAGTAAGTTTTTTTATTTGTTTCTTACCTGCAAATAAATTTAACTGGGCACTCTGCTCCTTCATTAGCGAGGCCTGGCAAACAGTGGGGATGCGGGGCCGGACGGCTGCGTGCCTCCAGAGGCCTCTGAGCTCTGTCCTCAGACGGCCCTCTCCAGCCTGACCCTGTTCTGCAGTCTTGTAACTTCTATTTCAAGTACCACAGTTTGGCAACGCTCTCTAATCACATTTCCCAATACAGTGTTTCAAACATGCTTTCTGATTCAGGTGTAGACAATAGTGCCAATAGGAAGCATATGGGGAGAAGTCAGTGAGTCAAGATGGGAGGACTTATTCTGAAGAGAAAGAAGCCATTATGCATGGGGACACGGGCGTCCGCTGAGCACCTACTGTGCGCCAGGCATGTTACAGACTTTATCTCATTTACCCTGCACTGTGCCACCTTTACATTTGAGACTCTCCGAGTCAGTGGGAGAAGGAACTGGTGCTCAGCCCCAGAGCTCAATTTGGGGGCTGGAGCTGGGATTCAGCCCAGAACTTCCTGGCTGCAAAGCTCCTGTTCTCTCCCCTAAATCATGCTTCAAGAGACTGCACAGCAAAGAAACTGGCTGAGGAGACCATAGTGGAAATGACAGCAGAGGGTGTGAAGACAGAGGCCGCAGGGATGGTGCCTGGCGGGTGTGCAGTGCACTGGGCATCATCCGAGCGAGGCCTGCCAACCTGGAGGTGTGTCCACACGGGGGTGCGACCACCCCAGGAGGGTCTCCAGAACCCTGTTCACTGTAGGGACAGCTGGGGGAGGGGGCAGGGACACCAGGAACATGGTAAGGAACAGATTTAAAGTCTAGGATGGGAGGAAGTATCTTATTGCAGTCCCCTCTCCTGTGTTCTGTCGCTGAGAGGTAACAGGGCACTCCCAGGGAAGGTGGGAGGGCTGGCTCTCTGGACCACGGGACAGGGGGACAGGGCGGGTGGCGGCGGGGCGGGGGCGGGGGGATGTGAGATTGCTGGTCTCGCTGCTTTGCTGGAGTGATACATCCTTTCCTAGATCACGTGCCTTTCTGGATTCCCACAGTGTCATCAGATTGCCAAGATGCTATCTCACACACGTGTGGCCTTGGGAGTGGCAACTGGTAACGTGTAATTTACAGTACAGTAAAGTGCTGTATGTTCTCGAGGACATATTTGCAGCTGGTTATTTTTATTTCAGGTCATTTAGATAAGTTGTCATCAGTATACAAGTTATATTAACCCTCGGGACTCAGAATATTAACTTTATTGTCCACAAGATGTGTGCGCATCTCAAAAACAAACTCCATCTATCCTAGAAAAAGCAGTACATCTATATATAAGTCTTATCCAGCATTGCTGGGCACGAAGACATTCCACAAGAATTAACTCTCTAGGTACGCAGAGTGGACCCCTTTGAATGAGAGCCCTATGTTCGTCTTAAAACATTCTTGGTGGAAACCATGCTAAGATAAATTGTGTAATTTTCCTCTTTTTCTTTTTTAAAAATAAAATGAAGAATAACACATTTTTTAGACTATTTTTAAAATATCTTTTTTTTTTTTTATCATTACCCATGGATATCAAACCAGCAGCCTAGGTGTGTGCCCTGACCAGAAATCAAACCCACAGCCTTTGGTGTATGGGACGATGCTCCAACCAACCGGGCCACCCAGCCCGGGCTATTGGCACTGTTTTGTAATGACTCACACTCATGGATTGTTCTTAAGATCCAGCATTATCCTGTAATAAAGGCTTTAGTTTTTCCTGCCTGTCTTTCATTGTCAGCTGCCATGTGCCAGTGCCTGAAGAATAATCGCCACACCCACCCTGTCTCTGCCACCTATTACTCGATCCTACTCTCCTGGGGTCTGGGGAGGTTTCTTCCCGGTGAGCAGTTTCCATAGGCTTGGTACCTCACGTCCGCCCAGACTCGGTTCCTGCCCCTGTAGGGGAGAGTCAGGCTAGATGATCTCGGAGGGTTTTCTCCTAACTAAATGTCAGCTCCTTCTCTCTGTTCGGGGCCTTGGTTCCTGCCGGCTTCCAGAGGGGGCGCCGTCCTGTGCTCTGCCGGCTGTTTCGGGGCTGCGGTGGGTCTTAGGAAAGAGGCGGATTTCACTCTCATTCTTCGTAGCATTCTAAAGCAAATTTTGGTAAAACCGATTACAGTTTTCTATGATGATGTGATGATTAGAAGCTTGGTTCTTTATGAAGTGACTTTGTGCAAGCAGTGGTATGGCCACGATAAACCTTCATAATTATTCAACGTATTTAGAAATTATACTCCAAGCCTTGTATCTCAACAGTTCCAAATTCTGTAAGTTGTATACACAGAAAAAAATGTTAGATGTCACTGTTTGTTCGGGCCTACATTTGACCTTTCTAGAGTCATGACAGCAGCTCTCGTGAGTACTGACTGGTTCAGCGCGCCATCAACTCTTATGTTAGGTAGGTGATTTTTGAGGGGAGGGATTGGAGGGCCTGTGTCTTGGAAAGAAACATTCAATGAGGTAGGAACTGGTCTTCTTTTCTACTTGATAAATTGCCCTGTGGCCAGCAGAGGGTTTGAAAATCATTCCATTTGTCTTCGTGTTCAACTCAGTGCTGGCATCATTAGTTTTAATAAATAGAGTTTGTGTCTAACAAATTAAAGACCTCTGGCTACATGTACTTGTGAATAAGAGTTTCCTGAATCTGGTCCTTTTGTTCACTCGCTCTCTCTCCCCCTCTCTCCCTCTCCATCCCCCTCTCTCTTTCCTTCAAGGGTAGCCTTCACCTAAAACAAACCAGGTGGAGGGTCCCAGGTCTGGGCGTGGGAGAGTTAGCACCACCTCTTCCCGCTTTTCCCTTGGTGTTGGTGGGTTGGGGGTATTTTAGGGTGATTACAGAGTTGTAAACTGCAGGCTCATTTTAGGACAGGGAAAAAAAATTGGTGGTGGAATTACAGAAGTGTAAGGCAAACTATAACAAGCATTAATATGCCACCTGCCCCCAACCCCAGCTTAAAAAAGGTCTTTGTGTTTAAACCAGGACATAGGAGCCACCTTTTTCTGCCTTCACTATCTAGGATTTCATTAATAAAATGGGATTAGTGCTCCCAAGGTATTTTTTGAGAGAATTAAATGGAGAATATGAACAAAGCCTGTAGAGCAGCACCTGGCACGTGGCAAGTTCTCATTAATGGTAGCTGTGAACGCGCCCATAATTACTGCTCTTAACGACTCGTCCCACATGGAGCCTGGCTGCAGAAGCTGGGAAAGGTCAGCCATGGGGAGGAGGGCGTGACTCAGCACTCGGTGCCAGGTCAGGGGCATGCTGAGCTTCGGGAGAGGAGTGACCTGAAGTCCACGGGGCTCTGAACGCATCGCCCTTCCGATGCCCACCTCTCAGAGCCTTGTTTCCCTTCGGAGGAGCAGGCAGCCGTGCGGTCTCCATCCTGAGCCCCACCACCAGGAAGCGTGAACTAAGTATTGGGTTGGCCAAAAAGTCTGTTTAGTTTTTTCCATAAAAGAAAAGACACATTTTTCATTTTCACTAATATCTTGAGTGATTTGGATAGTTTGAGTATGTCGGCTATCTCCTGTGTGGTATAATGTTGATTGTCAATTAATGTCTTGATTTGATCGCTATCAACTTCAACAGGTCTACCCAACTGTGGAGCATCGTCCAGCAAGAAATCTACAGCGTGAAACTTCAAAATGCACTTTTGACACATTCAATCTCCATACACTGCACAAATCTTTAGTTTTTATTTTTATTTTTTTGCATTTCAGTTGT